TTTAATTAATCAATATAATTAATTAATTAAGTATTCTAATTATGTTTCACCTAGGCAAGCCCCAAGTTGGGATTGAAGTATTGGAAACAAACCCAACTTGGAGACTTGTGGACCTAACGCACACTCAAGCCCGAGCCCAATGCTTGAACAAAAAACCTAGGCCCAAGCCTTGAAATTTTGAGTTAAGTGGGCTTAGGTTGGTTAGGCCCAATTTTGACTTAGAAATTTGGACCTCCAAAGCTTGGGTTAAAAATTGTAGGGCCAGGTCCGGATCAAGTCTAAACACAAAACTTTGGATCAAGCCTAGTATTTTTGGGCTAAGCCGGGCCTTTTCATCTACATCTCTTTAGCGTCTCAATCTAATTCCATGGAACAAAAGCAAACTAATATTTTAAAACATTCTCTCTTCTTTCTTACTCACTCTCTCCAAGAATTCAACCACTCCCTCTCACCCTCCAACCCCTCCAATAGTATACACTTGTTAAAATGTGTTAGTGCATATCATATGTTAAGTTACTTAATTTCGTTTAAATATATTTTTTAAGATTTTATTAATTATTTAAAAGTTATTAATTGTAATTGTAAATTTTTCTTTTAAAATTCGAGTAATTAATGTAATTTAAGTATTTAATTAAATTAATAATTAATTAATTTACCATATTTAATCAATTAAGTTAAATTAACTAATTAAATGTGTGCATTCTCTGATTGGTGAAGATACTACTTATCTTGTGACTTGCTAATATGCAAGATTCAAGGCATTAATACAATATACGAATAAATTGTGTAGACTGTAGAGGTTTTGATGAGCCGAAACTATTTTTTATTTGTTTAATTTGACAATTTCTTAAAGCTTATTAATTAATCTCTTTTATTGGCTGAGACTACTGCTTCAGCCTAACTCCAAGTGAACAACATATCTGTGACCCTAAAAATCAATATGTATCCCATACAATAGGCATCGATACATTTCAATATTTTGAACATTGCCAATATGCTTCTCAGATATGGAGCCATTTTTAATCACACTTGGAAAGCAATTGGACAGTCCAATCCGTTTATGGATCTTTCATTTGCCAATATACATAGAGGCAAAAGATACTGTGTAAGTTTGCAAGAACAGCAATAGGGTTGTTAATGGGTCAGGCCCAACCGGACAGACCCGACTCGAACCATATATTAGATATATAATATTTTCAGTAGGTTGATAATAATTGGGTCTATTGGGTCAGATCCAATTGCCTCGAAAAATGATCAATTTGGTTCTAGGTCTAAAATTAGAGACCATATAAGGTCTGATTCATGGTTTTGAAAACTGGATTGGATTGGGCGATTGAACTATTTAAATCAGGAATCGGTCAGGTCTCCGGGTCCGATTTATCTTTAGACCATTAATTCTCAAAAAAATGTTGAAATGGTCAAAGAACCGTTAGCCCAGGCAGTTGAACCACTAAACTGTTCGATGCAGATAGCAGTTTACAATTTTATTTAACATTTTAAGGAAATGTAAATAGAGGAGATCTCAGATCTGAGATAGAGATGTCAGTTCTGAGATTACTGATATGTGTGTGTGAGAGAAAAAGAGATCTGCAAAATCTGAGATCTGAGGTGGATTTTCTGTTGTTGGTTTTCCGCTTTCTGATACCGTTGTCACTGTTGCCACTGCCACTGCTGTTGTTGTCATTTGGGTGAACCACCACCACCACCACTTCACTCTTTTTCTTTATTTCTTCTTTTTTTTTCTTTTCCTTCTTTTTTTTTCTTTTTTTTCCCAACCGACAGCTATTTCCTCTCTATTTATATTTCTTTTTAACCTGACCTAATATGCTAATTCAATGGTTAAGATGCAATAAATTTATCTTGACCATTTTGACCCATTTGACCCAAACAGTTGAACCATTAACCCAAAAATCAGTAGCCAAAGCGATTTAATGTCCGAGTCGATTTTTAAAACCTTATTCTTGTTTGGGTGCAGTTGCTTAATATTGTTTGTCAGGTCGGTTTTGGTTGTACCCAGACCTGACCCGTTGGCAACCCTGGACAGCAAGCTTATGGAGATTGTAGGGATAGAAATAAATGCCAGAATTTTTGAAATTAATGGTTTGAGGTGGATAGATCGTATTAAAAAAAAATGAATTAGGTATGGGCATTGGCATGTGAAGAATTCAAAGGTATTATTATGTATGGGTGAACTATTGGGAGGATGGCATATTGTAGCAGAGCATCAACTTAAAATTATAAGACATGTGGTGGGCATCACATTTTATGGGAAGAATAAAATTCAATTTTGAAGGCTGCAACCTAGGCAACCAAGGGAATCCAGACTCGGAGGGTTGTCAGAGACAGCAACAGCAATATATGCCCTCAGTTTTTCAGGGTCAATGACCAATTGGGTAGAGCATCTCCCTAAAAGCTAAAATCATAGCAGCATTAATTGGTTGCAATAGGGGAAAGATAATAAATGTGGAAGGAGATTCGGATTGTCAAACAATTATTTCTTATGAACATTATTTTGCTCGTTGTAATTGGTGCCATGGACTATGGTCTGGTAATTTGGATGATACATTAGTTAAAGCAGCAGTGAAATCAGAACCAGAATTAGAATAAGTTAGAATGAAATTTCATTTCAAAAAGGAAAGAAATGGCTATTCCTTCAAATGAATGGCTGCCCTCGAGTGTACTACTTCTAATGCCTTTTTCCCTTGGAGTGATACAAATACCCAATCCAGTGGAAAGCTTCAATTCACTTTCTATTCTCAAAAAGCCTTCTACTTTTTTTTTATTATTAGTTTGTTTTCTGTGAATTCATTAGGACCTTGAGCCGTTCTGATTCAGTCCAATTCAAGTTTTTTAATTAACCCTCCAATATTTTAAATACTATTTGTTGCTTAGACGTCTTTTATGATGTTGAGTCGAAGACCACACATCTTTCCATTGTGTATTTTTTTAAAGATAACTATAATGTGCCTTTAAAGGAGAGGAGTCCAGATCACCTGCCAACAAAACGCGTTTCAACCCTACCAACATAAGCCCACACTACACATCTCATATATGGTGGTGGCCCCAATCTCATAGTAAGATGTGTGGTATGAGATCATATTTGATAGAGGGTTGAAATGTGTTTTGTTGGCAGAAGATTCCAATTGAAGATGAGCTTAAAAAAAAAAACTCCAAAACTGTCCCTACCCACCGTGCTTAGTTGCTTGATTTGATTTGTCCTTGTTGGGGAAGAATGGGGTCACTATAACTTTGGAGGAGAAACTCTGAGACGCATCTGAAGACACTGTCTTTAGAACGTTATTTGCCCCCACTCAGTTTTACTGAGTTTGCTGTTGGGTTACAGACAAATTCGTTCACAGGATACAATAGAGCCTTTGGCGAGAATCTGCAACCAACAAAGTTGAAGAGTCTCCAAAGAAACCTTCTGTGAAACTATAGCAGACCGGACTGAGAGAAAGAGAGAGAGTGAATTTCGAAATTGTGTGTTTTGGAGTCTGATTCATACTCCTTAAATAATTTGTGAAGAGGTATGAAGAAAAGGTAGGTGCTGGTTTAGAGAAGGCACCTTGAACAGTCACAATTTCAAACATTGTGACTGTTTAAAAAGTAGTTAACAGTTGGTGACTATTAACTTTGAATTGTGCCTCTTAATCACACTCGATCGAATCGTGACCGTTGATCTCATCAACGGTAATCAATGGTCATCAACGCACCAAAACCAGAGCCATCCATCACGAGCCACGCGGGTGCAAGCAAAGTGCGCCTCATTGCGCCGCACACACGCGTGCGCGCGCGTTGCACGATATCGAATCCTCATACTCTCATCTACTAATTCTAAAGAGTGTAAATCAACTCCTATTGAAATACTGAAAATAAAACTTACAATTTTCCAATGTAGGACAAGTTCAAAACTGAATTTTGTAAGAGAAAACTGATTTTTTCAATCAAGTGTGTAGGTGCAATTTCTCATGTAATTGACCAATCAAACCCATTGGATTTAATCTCTTATGAGATTACAATCCAATAGTCTTAAAAATGATTATTATATAAGATGTAGACGGAAGCAAGTGTTGAAATTCTCAATGTGCAAAATTTTAAAAAATGGATACTTTAAACCTTGGTCCAATTGCCAATCGACTAGTCGCTCTTAACCAAGACAAATTCCCCATCTTCTCTGAATTCTGATCCCACGGATTCCATGCAACCATTCTTCGTCTTTCTTTTTTTTTTTTTTCTCTTCTATTGATAGTTTGTACTCTCATTAGACTAAGAGGCGATACTGAGAATAAAATACAAAAGAACCCTTAAAATATTGGTGAAGACAAGAAAATTAGTAGAAGACAACATAGAATATGCAAAAAAGAAGTCCTCAAGATTTGGTGAAAACATAAGAAAATCGCTAAAAGACAACGTAGACAAGGTGGCTAGAGGCAAAAACATGTATACGAAAAGCGTCCCACGGGCTCCTCGTTGAACCGTCGTCCTCCTCATATTGCTAGTTACAGGAAAAACCAAATAGCCTCACTTTTCTTCTTCCAACATTGCTTGATGTTTTCAGTTAAAATTACCGGACTAACCTCACTTTTACCTCTAGCGTTGTAGCATGTCTCCTTTTATATATATATTCTTGCCATACTGATTCATGGGTGCATGGGTTAGGTTGCCTCCGTGTGGGACCCAGATGTTATAATTCTCTATGGACGGTGATGGCTGCCGGTAACAATCCCTCCCCATATCCATCCATACAGATTTAGATTGATCATGATTATGATTCTGTTCCATCTTGTGAAAATGGCCCATCCGATTCATTTTGGTAGGATTCACAAAATGGGCCCATCTTGTGAAAATGGGCCAATCCTTGGAACGAGAATCTCGTGAACCAAAGCATGGGCGTGTCATTTGATTACCCAAAAAACAAAAGTGTCATTTCGCTTCAATGTCGAGGACTTTATGGTAAATTTGTCCTTTTCAACAGACTAATAAAACGAACACCCAAGTCAAGCCAGTAGAAACAAATCAATCGAGTCTACGAAGAATGAATCAGCTCAACCCACTCGCTTCCACCCTCACTACCTACATCACCTCTCTCCCCCTCTCCACACTCCTCACCTTCTTCGCCTCCGTCGCCACCTTCTCTCTCCTCCCGATCATCTTCCGCCGGCGAAACTGGCGAAATGCGCCACCGGGTCCTATCGGATGGCCCTTGATGGGGTACCTCCCCTACCTCACCGAGCGTCTCCACGAAGACCTCTACCACCTGGCTAAGACCCATGGTCCACTCTTCAGCCTCCGCATGGGCCAGAAGCCCGCCATCGTCGTATCCTCGCCGGACATTACTCGCGAGATACTCAAGCACCAGGACGCAACGTTCTCCAGCCGCACAATCACCGAAGCTGTCCGCTGCGTCACGTACGATGCCACCTCCCTAGTCTTTGTCCCCTACGGTGCACGGTGGAGGCTCCTCCGTAAGATCCTCACTACAGAGATCTTCTCTTCTCGTGCCATGGAGCTCTTTCAACCAACTCGAAAACAACAGGTACCTGATACATACATAGAGAGATACAGTCGGACCTCGGACAGTCGGACGACGCCTCATAATTATCATCTGTAGTAATTAATTCTAACATTAACAAATGCTTCGTCTAGGTCCGAGGACTGCTTAAAACACTCTACGGGGCGTGGAAGTCAAACACACCTGCGAACATCGCCGACTCGACGTTCGTCGTATCAGCTAACCTCATAAGCAACCTTGTCTGCTCCAAGAGTCTGTTCGATAACACGAAGGAGGGGCGGGAGTTGAAGGAGATGGTGTGGGAGATACTGGAGGTGGTGGGTGCGCCCAATTTGGCTGATCTGATTCCGCTCTTGAAGGTTTTGGACCCTCAGGGATTGAAGAGGAGAGTATGGAAGGTTGTGAAGAAGTTTGACGATTTCTTCGAGAAGTTGATCGGCGAAAGGTTGGAGGACAGGAAGAAGGGAGTGAAGACGAATGAGAATGGAAGGTTGGACATGCTGGACGTGTTCTTGGATTACAGGAGCGAGAAGAAGGATGACGAGTTGAAGCAATTCTCTCGGGTGGACATCAAAGGGATGCTCTCTGTAAGTAATTTTTTTGTTCTTGTTTGTCAATCTTATTTGAATCGTCAGTTCTGATTCAAGTGGGAATTCTTTTGGTTGCTTTGAGGTAGATTTTTAGAGCAACATGTCTGAAATCCGTCACACATATGAATTATGATATATCCTCAGTATGAATGCATGCAGAAAGCTTGAAGAAAAGAAGAACAACTGATCGAAAGCTAATATCTATCTCTGGTATTGTATATGTAGGACATGTTTGTGGCTGGCACTGATACTTCATCAAGCACAGTGGAATGGGGGATGACTGAAATTCTGAAGAGACCAGAAATCTATAAGAAGATATTAGCAGAGATTGATGAAGTCGTCGGAAAGGAGCGATTTGTGGAAGAAACCGATATCCCCAAGCTTACCTACTTCCAAGCTGCTGTAAAAGAAGTGTTCAGACTCCATCCAGGAGTTCCACTCCTCATCCCTCGCCGCACCAACGAAGCAACCGAAGTGTGTGGCTACCATGTGCCCAAGCACGCCATCGTCTTTGTAAACGTCTGGGGAATGGCGAGGGACCCCAAAGTGTGGACAGAGCCTTACGAATTCAGGCCAGATAGGTTCCTTGGGTCGGACAAGGATGTCAAGGGTCAAGATTTCGACGTCTTGCCATTTGGAACGGGAAGGCGATCGTGCGTGGGTATGCCGCTGGGTCACCGGATGGTTCACTATTCCTTGGCTTCATTGCTCCATGCTTTTGAATGGGACTTCCCGGCTGATATTTTGGAAGACATGACGGAGAAGGTCGGGATTACACTACAGAAGGCCAAAGGCTTGATTGGCGTTCCGAAACCTCGATTATCTGAATCTGTGTTTCAGTAATCAATCCCTAGACCCTACGGTATTCTACAGACTGCTCTTGCTATATATGCAGAGATACGTCGTAATTTATATGATGATTATGCATCTTCTTTGCTAATATTATAAGCACTTGTAGTTGAAGCCAGTTGCTAATAATATTTCCTTGCGCCATTTTTCTAGTTTCTTCTCTTCAGATGATGAGCTTATTGCCTCACGTACGTCCTCGATGCATCAAAATTTATTTAACTTTATTTAACCCAATGTGCGAATGCGGGTCCCATTAAATTCAATCCGCCTCCCATCGTCCTAATTCAGTAATTTGTCTCAACAGATTACTGAACCTACTGACCCTGGAGACCATGGCCAGTCTTCACCTCCCAAACCCTAATCACTTGTTCTCATCTTCTTCAATTTCTGTTAGGTTCCACCAGAAGAGGCTGTTTGCGGATGTTGTTCTTCCTCACATTGGTTGGGTTCCTAGAGCTAGTCGAAGAAGCTCACGGATCCGAAGTGACAGTGGGTGTCTACTGTTCTTCTTCTTCTTCTTCTTCTCCATCTGTTCCCATGGAATCGGCCAGGATTTAGGTAATGGGTGTTGGTGTCCAGTCCGGATTTCCTACTAACTTCTCTCTACTCCCCTCTCTACTAACCCAATAAAATGATTCCAACTGTTTTTAATCATGTTAGAGGAGTCCAATTTTAGTGTAACAACTAATCAAGATTCAAGAGCTTAACCCCTCCGTTAAATACTCTTTTTAAAATATATCGATTCTTCAAATATTAATTAAACCTTTTTTCAAAAATAGATATTTCATCTAAGCCCAAATTCTTCTTCCCCATTCTCTTTCCTCTTCGTCTCTTCTCAGAAATCTTTCTGTTTGTATTTGATCGTTAATATACAAAAAGCCCCTTTCAGATTTCTTCAAGGATGAAGAAAAAATTCTATGTAAGCTCTAGCCACACTCCACACCAATAGATAGGAAAAGTTATACAAATTCTCTCGTGCTACCTATCAATATTTGAATCTTCTATCTCAATTCTTTGCCCTGCCTCTAGAAACTATCTATTTGGAACTGAAGGTTTTCTATTTTATCACAAGTAATTCAAAATTTTCCTACAATCCAAAAACCTTCTTAATATTGTTCATAAAAACATAAAAGTTATACTCCTCCCAACATCTTCAATGACAGCAACAAGAAAAAAAAAAAAAAAATCCAATGTATAGGAGGAAATTGAATGTGTACAGTGTGTTTTGCAAAAGAACTCAGTTTGATCTATATATGTTTTAAACCCACAAATTGAATGTGTACAGTGTACAGCTGTTTACCTATCAGCTGTATATTAGGGTTAGAGATAGTTAGGCTATCATTACCAGCTGTATATTCTGTTATTTCCAGCTGTACATTCAGTTAGCCAGCTGGACTCCGCCATTGCACTCTTTATATATACTCATTGGTAAATCAAAATACATGAATGAAGATTTATTTTCTTCTTGCAAGATTTTAGATGGTATCGGAGCGGTGAAAAAGGTTCTTCCACGCCTAAAGTCTGTTGAAGCTCTTCCTAATACGGCGAATACAAGATGGCACCAGAAACTGAAAGCAGATGCAGCAGAAACAGATTCACAGATCCTTTCTCGCCGTATTACCTTCACCCATCCAACAACCCTAACACGGTCTTAGTCTTCTGCTAATGGGAGAAAATTATCAAAAATGGACACGCGCAATGATCAACGCACTCAGTGCCAAAAATAAGGACGGATTCATGGACGGAACGATAGAGAAAACAGACCATTTGAAGACGACGGAATGGCTGGCATGGTCAAAATGCAACTCAATGGTGATATCGTGAAATTTCAATGCTCTTTCCCAAGAACTGCATCAGAGTGTCGCCTATATCGAGAATGCCAAAGAAATCTGGTTAGATCTTGAGCAACGTTTTTCTCAAGGCAACACCCCCTGGATCTTCCAATTAAAGAGAAATCCTGCACTCTTGAAGCAAAAAACTCTTCCTGCGGCTGTCTATTACACAAGGATGAAAGGCATATGGGACGAACTCACCTGTTTCTCAGGAGTTCCAACTTGTTCGTGTAGAGGTGCTACAAAAGAATTCCTCGCTGAGAAAGAAAAGGAATATGTATATCAATTTCTTCTTGGTTTAAGTGAAAGATTCACTACTATCAGGTCTAGCATACTCCGCATGGAACCTTTGCCGAACATCACCAAAGTTTATGCATTAGTGTCTCGAAAAGAAAATCATCAAGATTTAGCAATTCAGCGAGCACCAACAGTAGAGGCGTAGCCTGAATGTAACAGTACAATCACGAGGGGGAAACGGCAGTGATAAGCCTAAACTACGGTAAGACCACTGTAAGAAATAGGGACACACCAAAGACCGTTGTTACGAGATTTTTTGATACCCACCAAACAGGGAAACCAGGGGGAAATCGAAAGGAAAATCTCCAGCAAAGGCTAATGTTTCTAAGGCTGGGTCTACCAATCCAAATGCTAAGGTCTCACCTGCCAACAGGCTTTCATACGAGCAATACCAATAGTTAATTGATCTTCTCAATGGTGGAAAGCCCACTCTCTCCAACTTTGCAGGTATGGTTAACTGGTTCATGAATTCTGATATCTGGTTATTAGACAGCAGTGCAAGTGACCACATGACACCTTTTCATTCTAAGCACCACACCATTAACCAATCCAATATCAAGCCCGTTCAATTGCCAAATGGAACCTGCTTGCCTATTCAATCCAAAGTTGATGTGTCTCTATATCCTGAACTTACCTTACAAAACGTATTGTTCATTTCCAGTTTCCGTTGCAATTTGGCATCCATTAGTAAACTCACTTCGCAGCTTAACTGTGCTGCCCCATTCCTCCAAGAGAGTGACTGAGGTGGGTCTGCTGCATGATGGACTATACTACCTGACACCAGTGAAGCCAGTAGTGGCTCTACAATCTCATGCTAAGTCTTAGTTTATGGCATGCTAGACTTGGCCACGCCTCTTATAATCGGCTATCATCTATCAAATATCTTCACACTACTATACCTGCTACTGTATGTTTTGATACCTGTATGCGTGCAAAACAAACACGTCTGTCTTTTCCCATTAGGAATTCTAGATCATCAAGTATTTTTTTCATTAGTTCATTGTGATATATGGGGATGGTTATAATAAGACACCGTCTTTCTCAGGGGCACAGTATTTCCTAACAATTGTTGATGACTATTCATGGGCCACTTGGGTGTACTTGTTGAAGGCCAAATTTGAAGCCTATAGTTTCTTTGTCATGTTTTGTGCCATGGTCAGTACTCAATATAATTGTAAGATCCAATGTGTTTCGATTTGATAGTGGTTCAGAATTCCTATCTAGTCCTATGAAGAATTTCTTAGCTAAACATGGTATCATGCAACAAACCTCATGTGTAGATACCCCACAGCAAAATGGGGTGGTTGAAAGAAAGCATCAACACCTCTTAGATTGCAAGAGTTTTGCGGTTCCAGGCCAAATTACCAATAAAGTTTTGGGGAGAATGCATTTTGACTACATCTTACATAATCAATTATCTTCCCATGCCCATTTTGTCTGGAAAGACACCCATTGAAGCTTTACAAGGCCAAGCACCTTCCTATGCACATTTTCGAACTTTTGGCCACCTTGCCTATCCTGCTACAACTCATCATGGCGTGACAAATTTGCGTCTCGATCTAGGTATGTATCTTTCTTGGTTACCCTCGTGGACAAAAAGGGTGTACAGACTTCTTGATATGGAGACACAACAACTCTGTCTCACGAGATGTCAAGTTCTTTGAAGATCAATTCCCTTTTGTTGAAAATAAACAAGATGATGGACCATTGGTATCGTTCCGACACTCACCAGCTATTCCAACACCGGCATTGGATGATAGGATCAATATCATGGCCCATAAAGACTCAGGATTCTCAGATATTACTGAAACAAATGGGTTACTTCCATCTGATATACATATTGAATTGAACTTATTGCACCCATTGTACCCATTGCACCTGAACCCACTACACCCATTACGCTAGAACCTATACCAATTACCAACAAATCACCATCCGTTATGCTTGTGTTAGATCCTCCTAATTGGCCCATTCGCAATAAACGAATTCCAACCCATCTTGCTGATTACGTTTGTCCAATCATTCAATCCAATAATGACCCACATGCTTCATCCACCTCCCACCCCATTTCCAACTTTCTCCATTCAGGTGCCACTTCCCATCTTGAGCCTACCACATACAAGCAGGCCTAGAAAAGATGAATGTTGGAGACAAGGTACAAATGGGTTTACAATGTCAAATACAATCCGAATGGTACAAGTGAGCGCTACAAAGCATGATTAGTTGCAAAGGGATATACACAAACGGAAGGGATTGATTACATTGAAACTTTCGCTCTTGTTGTGAAATTAGTGACAGTACGTTGTTTACTAGCTCTTGTAGTAGCATGAGGTTGGGAACCTCACCAAATGGATGTAAAAAACGTCTTTCTTCATGGCTCTCTTTAGGAAGAAGTATACATGATCCATCCTCCTGGCATGTTGTCTCTAATAAACATACGTGTTTGCAAATTAAACAAATCAATCTATGGGCTTAAGCAAGCATCACGGAATTGGTTTCATACATTAGCTTTTGCTCTCAAACAATGTAGCTTCCATCAATCATTGGCAGACAATGTACTATTCATTATGAATAGCTCTAGTTCCTTTTTAGTCATTTTGGCATATGTCGATGACCTTGTCATAGCCGAGGACAATCCTATTGCCATTAATGATCTACCAATAATGATCTTAAGAAGTATCACAGCAATTGTTTTCCTATCAAGGACCTAGGCCATCTCCATTACTTTCTTGGCATTGAGATATCTCATTCCTCTTCGGCGCTCTTTCTCAGCCGACACAAATATATTCTAGACATTCTTCAAGAATTAGGAAGTTAGGCTGCAAACCCAGCCCATTTCCAATGGAACAACAACACCCTCTTGGACCGAAATCTGGGTCCCCAATAGACAATCCTGCTCAGTATAGGCGCCTAGTTGGTCATCTCATTTACTTAACCATCACAAGACCAAAGCTCAGCTATGCAGTACACACACTCAACCAGTTTATGAGTGACCCTCGACAGTGTGATCTTGATGCTGCCAT